TTCTTGACTTGACTTTGAGTGTGAGTATTCATTACACACACACACACATATACGAACTCAAGGCCTGTAATTGATATGGGAAACAGAGAAGGAAAGACAAAGTGAGCGAGAGCGAGAAAGAGAGAGGACGACAATTAATAGCAGGCCTTGCCATGACGTATACGTAACGTCCTACAAAATAATTATAACCATATTAAAATGCTCCGCAAAATGGTCAACACTTAACCTCAGCCCTGACTGAACCTTCGGGTTCACCCGTCCCTGACTTTGGCCTGAATAATTCAATAACAATTTACAATCAATTAAAATGACTCGCAAAGATTAAAAATCTCAGACATTGGCCAAGTTTATTATGTGTGACTCGGAATGTGTGCGTGCTCGTACTGCGTGTGTGTGAGTGTGTGTGGCCCTGTCTGAACTCAATTTAGCGTTACTCATGGTCCATTAATTTGCCATTTTCATGGTAGGTGCAATAAAGTGCAAAGGAAACAAAGGCACAGAGGGCACAAGGCACAGAGCACAAGGGAGAAGGGAGAAGGAAAAAGAACACACAAACGAAACGAAACGAAACAGCACAACACAACACAGAACAGAACAGCCACCAAAAGTCGACACCATCAAGGACCCAGAAAAAGGGTCACTTCCAGTCGACAGGAAAGGCACGGCACGGCACGGCAGGGCAGCAACGAAAGCAAAGCACAAAGCCCTCTAACTGTCTCGACCCCTCTCAACGACCAATTACAACTAAACAGCTTTAATTTAATTTGAGCCCACCCCCGGTAACTGGTCCGTTCGGGCCTACCCACAGTCCAGGCATTCCCAGCATTCAACTCTTCTCCATCCTGATGCCGATGCCGCTGCCACTGCCGCTGCCGCTGCTGCTGCTGGCCGAGAACAATGGCGCGGATGTAATGTTCGCATTATGCTCGTTCACAAATTGTAAGCAGCCATTATGTTTCTTCATGTTGCCCATGTTTCCCCGTCGCCAGCACCGCCCTGCACCGGCCAGCCTTTCCCCCTGTGTGTTTTCCGCATTGTAATGCCCATGGAGCAGGGAATCAGAGGAAGAGAGGACCTGAAGCCAAACCCCGCCCTAACATCGGGCTAGCCTTGCCGTGTTTTCCATTGTTCCAGCCGGCCTCTGCTTGGTTGCTCCTCCCCTCTGCTGCTCCCAGACTATGCTCCCCGGCTATGCTCACCGGCTATGCTCCCCGGCTCTGCACTCCGGCTCTGCTACCCGGCTCTGCACTCCGGCTCTGCTCGCCGGCTCTACTCTCTGTCGTATGTCAAAATAATTGCGGCAACGGGCAGTCATTGCGTTTGTTTGGTGCTGCCCACGGCCAGCAGCAAAATCCTCACCTGAAGGGCTACTGGCGGATTGTGAGATAAACAAAACCCAAAACCATTTCCAACATTACTTCTGCTGTGTCCAAAAGGTAAAGAGAAGATTGTATTATATAATTGGACTGCAGCATTGCCTTCTGATTGTCAGATGTGTTAATTTCTGATAATGAAATGATTGTCGAAAATTTTTAAATTTTACTAGTTACTTTTTATAGCCACCTCACATACAACCACGAGTACCCCGTGTGTGAGGGTCTCTGCAGCTGAAGACAACTTCAAATGGTTTACAAAACGCTCAAGATAACCCCCTTGGGGGCTTTTCATTTGCTTGAAACAACTTCTCAATTTGGTTCATCTACTCGTAAAATAATAATAGAGCAGGTCCAAATGGTGATGACCACAAGACAGATTTAGCAATCAGTTGGCGCAGTGACACACAGCCTACACTTTGCGGTCAAGAGCAACAGTTGGGCCTCTTCACTCCAACCGAGGAGTACTCAGTCCCAGAAGAAGTTTGAAACAAATGTGGTTTGATGTGGTCACTCGCTGCCGTTTCGGGGTCACACAAATAAAACAGTTAATGACACGCACAAGACAGCAAACAACGTCCAGCAATTAAGTTGATCAATTTACCTACAGCTCCACATTAAAGGAAACAATTTGCTATGTAAGTAATTGACTGTGGCCAGGCGGAGAGTGTTTAGGCTGGTTTCTGGTGTGGGGCTGCGGATTATGAAATCATCAGCAAATTACGCAGACCAGTGATTCGAGCTATTCAATTGAAAATTCGATAATCGACAGTTGTGAAGCCAGGCAAACCACAGGAACCTTTAGGCTCATTGCCTGAGCCCTAATAGGGCGCACAATTAAATCAGGGAACTATTAAAACTGAGTGGAAAACTTCCAGCCAATAGAGAAAAAAAACCCAAGGTAAATGGAAAATGCAAAGCAATAACTAAGAGAAGAAAATTCCGCTGCCGTTCTGATAGTTGAAAATACTTTTTGGTTTGCACTTCGGTGGCTGGCTTCGTATTTGCGCCAAACAAATTTTGTCTTTCAATTTCCAGTTTTTGTTTGGCTGCCATTTGCAAAATGTTTTTGCGCAATTCAATTGAACCGACGCATGACTTTTCAATCCGCGAAAATCAAACACACTCTGAGGGTCATAAATTCTGTGCTGGCTGCCTGCAGAGCACAGACCGCGTAATTTCTGCGCTTTATTTATGCATCAATGGCGTGATTTATTTGCCAACACTCTGGCCCAGACCACAAACATCACTTGAAGTGTTCATTGTTGTCTACACTTGTCTGGTTTGTCCTATATCTCATACCATCCATACATCCATCCATCCATCCATCCATACATACATATGTATGTGATTGCTGCTGCTGCTGCTACATATACAAAAAATAACTATAATTCATTGTAAATAAAGCAGGAAAAACACAATTATTTATCACGAAGCAGACAGAAAGACAGACAGACACCAGCCTGATGCCCGGAGGCGGCTCAATCCCAATACCAAGCGGGAGCCCCCATCCTTATATCATCCTATTGCATACCTTCTGCCCACAAAAACAAAGAAAATTCAACAAAACAAATGTCAGTCAGCAGTCAGCAGACAGCAGACAGCAGAGAGAGGCAGGGGTTTGTTTTTGGGCTGCGGAACACTGTCCTGTCTGTACCGCGCCTACCAAAGCGGCTCAAAGTTTCGGGCGACAACAAAAACACAAATCTTCTCGTACTTTTTTTTTTTTTCTTTCGTTTGTGTTTTGTTTTGGATGAGGGGACTCTCTTTTTGGCTTTGGGTGAGACTGCCTGCTGCCACGTTGACGGCCTGCCTGACAGTACAGTAAAGCGACTCAAAGGAGGGACGGGACTGGGGAAGTGAGCTGACACTGGGCCTGGGAACTGGCGGCCGGAGTTTCGAGTGTTCCGGAGCGAGTCTGGGCGACATATTTTGTGCTAAATCTTCTTGTTCACACTAACGCGTTGCTGACAGTTTCTCTTTCTTCATTTTTGTTATTTTGCTGTTGCTGCTTTTGTCTGACTCTGGGCACTGGGCACTGGGCTCTGCCTCTGTCTCTGTTTCTGGCTCTGTGTTGGGTCTTTGTTTTTGTTGCTTTTTCACTGATTTCAAGTGTGACAGTCAGTCCGTCAAGCAGGCGGCACAGGGCAGACACAGTTACAGTCACCGTCGCGACGGTCGTGGGTGTGAAATATCTCGGTAAATGACCAAAACAAACACCCACATCAAGGCACTTGTTAAATCGTTTGTATTTGCATCAGGGTCACACTGTTTCTGTTTCCCCCCCGCCACTCACGCGACATTGTAATCTCAGGCTGATCTGGCAACGCTGGCGATCACGCACGAGGTTTGTGTCTTGGCTGTAAACTGGTTTCCGTCTCTCAATGGATGCTGCGAGACGTTGTTGTTGTTGTTGGTCTATTGTTGGCTTGGCTGCTGTTAATTTGGCGCTGACATTGACCCAGATTCCGTTTGTCGACTGTTGAGCAGTCTTCGGCCCGCTTTGCTGCCTCATTTGCCGCTTAGCAAGTTTTCTGCCTCAATCGAACAATGCTCGTAAATGTTGAGTGCTAATTGCGGTCACTAACATTTGGCGGCCATTCACACAGCAGCATAGAGCAGAGCGGACAAACAATAGCAACAAAATAAGCAACAGCAGCAGCAGCAGCAGCAGATATTCGATTCATCTTTGAAAATGCATTTGCATTTCGTTAGAGCCTCCCGTAAGCCCAAGCCCAATACCAGAGCCACAACCAATCTCATCGGCAACTACCTGCCATCCCCCATCAACCACATTTGCATATTCGATTTTGGATTTGTGTTGTGCTTCATTGTGTGTGTGCGTCTGTATCTAATAGATACTATCTATACATATGTATGTATCTATGCTGCTGCCCCACGCTAGTTTTGAATCATTTAGCACAAAATAATGCGCTTAGTCGGAGAAAGTGCATCTCATCTCTAATTATACGAAATATGCATATGCAGATGCAGATGTTCCAGAACTCATATTCTCCCCATGCCTAATTTGGGAATTATTATTTTTGTTTTCTCATTTGGAAAGCTCTGCAGATTTAGAAAAAATTTAATTCGAAGCAAGCTGAACATTTTCATTGTCTGATTTCAGAGAATTCATATGGTTTGTTGCTCAAGCTTAAATTGGGACTGCATAAAATGGTATCTACTATTAAAAATGTATTCAAAATGCTGGTATATTATTTTCCACAATATATACAAGAGTTATTCCTGAATTAATATTATTCTTTCTATTTTTTTTAAATATATTTACACATGTATTTTGATTTTTCCTCTAATTCGAAGCAAACTCATTTTCATATTAAAAAATGGAATTTTGATTTGTAGATGGTGGATATAACTAATAATTTCTTAATGTATATAATTAATATTTAAATTCCAAAGCAGAAAATCGGGAAATAAATATTTTTATAATGTGAAAATAAATTGCTTTTTAATTTGTAAACAGAAAGTTTTGAAATAGGCATGTAACTGCCACGGGTCACGTAGGGTTACAAAATTTTAAAAAAATTAGCCCCAAAATATATGAAGTCGATTCCCAGCCAAGGCTGAAGACTATGGATGCTCTAATATATATAGATTTGCACTTACATGGACCCCTTGGGCACTGTCATGTTCAGGCCGTCGAGCACGACATTGGGATTCTTGCTGCTGCCGTACATTTTATGGGCCCGCCTCACACAAACCGCCTGCTGGCGTCGCGTCGCCAGTGTCGAGGGCTGTGAGATGAAGAGCCGGCGACGGGCCGCCAAATCCAGATCGCTGTTGGCCGTTGTTGCTGCTGCTGCTGGCGCCGCTGGCGGCACTCCATCGGCGGCTGCGTCCATGTCGAAGCAGTCTGCAAAATATAGTAGTGCATAAATCGATATTAGTATTGTATATGGGCTGCAGATAGTATATGCGAGTATATATACATATAGCGGAATTGAAATAAAAGAATCTAAAATTGGCACAACGCTTGCTTGGCTTTGGGCTTTGGGCTCTGGGCTCTGGCATTGTTAGTCATTGTAGTTGGCGTTGCTGTTGCTGTTGCCGTTGCTGTTTCTGTTGTGCATTGACAAGGAAAGTGAATATCGATAGTGATGGCAACGACAGGCCCCACGCAACGAAAGCAACTAGCATGGCATGTGTGTAGCTTTACATTTATAGTTTAAGGGGTACTTTGGGTTTTACATGTGGGTTGACAGGGAATAATACAACAACAACAAGCTCTGATCATTTCTACCACTGGAAAACTGAATAGAGTTGGCCAGGAAAAGCATGCAGAATATTCTCGTAGTGGAAGCCACTAAAGATGTAATTGTTATAACTATATCAGTCAGCTAAGTAATTAAGTCTAATAAATTAAGTAATAATATTACTTGATTTCTCCATTTCTCTAACAGTCTTTAGAGTATACATTTCTTCTCGCATCATACATAGTATATGTTCGAGCATGTATCCTCCCCTGTCTGGCTGCCAATACTTGTTTATTGCTGCTGTCTGTCGCTGCTGCTATTCCTATTCCTGTCACTATAGCAGCATCCCGCCCTGGCCCAGCGCTCTAACCTTTGTCCGCCCCCCGTTTGCTGCTGGCTATTTTAGCTAGTGTCGTTGCTGCAGTTGTTTCACAGTTGATTAAACCAATTTTTGTATACCGTCAAGCCAGGACGACCCCGGTCAGAAGCTTTCGCCTCGTGATGGATATTGCTGTCATGTAGATTCGACCCCTCCTCGATGTTGTTGCTGCTGCTGCCGATGCTGATGCTGCTGCTGCTGCAGGATGCTTCTGGTCGCTGGCTATTGCCAATTTTTGGCTCGAACGAAATCAAATTTTGAAAATGGCTTCGCTTGTCGCCAGAGACCCCGCCTGATGCTCTCTAACCCCTGGTTTAGTGTCCACTCTGTCCTCTGTGCAGGGTCCAGCATCCTCGATTCTCGGACTAACTGCCATTGCCCCCCATGTAGTGGCATTTGCCAGTTAACGACAATTTGGCCAAGTGCTTTGATAGTTGGTTTTTATTTTCGTTTTCATTTTCATTTGAAATTGACATTTTGCTAATCGAAAATGCAGCAAACAATTTGCCCGTTTGGCAAAAGTTTTGCAATTATTTTGCTCCCGCAAAAAAGGAAAAGAAAAGAAACTGAAACAAAATCCAAAGCCCCGAATACCATTTATTGATTTACTTCTCACTAACAATGGGCTCGGCTCGGCTTGGTCCCGGCCCGTCCCGTTCCAGAAACAAATAAATAAAAATAAGCATACAAACAACTAAGTAACGGAAACAACAACTGACGGGATGTGGTTGGCTTTTCCCACAGTTGGCTTGGGGATGGGATGGGATGGGTTTTGGGTTTCAGTTTGGTTTCGGGTCGGGTCGGTTCGGTTCGGTTCTGTTGTGTTTAGTTTTTTTTTTTTGCTTCTTTTTGGCCGCTCCGGCTGCAAGAAATAAACTTTCTTGATAAATGACTTCAATGTAATTAATTTCTGCTCAGCTCGCCTGCAGCCATCCCGTGGCAAGGAGGCAGAGGCGGCGACCTCAGACAATGCCCTGGTACTGTTACTGGTACGGGTTTTGGTTTGGGTTTTCGGTTTGCTGTTCTGTGGCAAGCAGCAAACCAACAACAACCAAGCAGCTCATGAGCTATGTCTTGGCAGCGCAGCGGCAAACGCTGTCATTGCTAATGTCCGGCTGGTTGCCCCCGTCCTGGATCTACTCTGTGCCCTGCCCTGCAGCATTTCAATTAAGAATTATTGTTTAAAGATGTAAGTAGTCAGTGCTGGGTCGGAGCAATCTTCATTGTTTATCCAGGGCAATGAGCAATGGTGGCTGGCTGTCAGATTGCACCGAAAGATAGCAATGCACTGCAGCTTTTGTGCTAAGCAGATTATAACTGAATTAGTGTCGGAAAAGCACTGCAATTGAGTCGAAGCTTAAGTCCCTTGAAGGACTCCCACTTATAACCCATACGTCGTGTGGTCTGGCAGCAGCAGCAGCCGCATCAGTCTTTGGGTCAACCGCTGACGAATTTTGTGTTAATTAACTTATTTTTAAGCCAATTAATATGCACAGCACGGCAATGACCCAGGGAATCTTTGCCTCTAACTAAAACTTTATCTTTCTGCTTAGCCGAGACTGATTGGGCACCGCACCAGCCGCAAATTTAATCAAACAACTGTAAAACTAAGTCCCTGCATAGCAGAGGAACAAACAAGCCAAACTTCTTGTGCAATAATTTTTCCGGACACGAAACTGAAAGGTGTTAGTGGTAAGCCCCACGGCGGCCTTTAATGTAATAAAAATAACTGGAGGCCAGAAAGGGAAACTGTTCTCGTTTCGCTGCTTGCCAAATCTTTAAACTTGTCCTTGCCCTGAGTGGGTGTCGGTATCTCTCGCTATCGCTCTCCCTTTCCCTCTCCCTCTCGGATATGGGATTCGTATCGGGTGCACAGATTTGTATTCGCTTTCTGGCAATCTTTATGGTGCTTTTGTAAGAGGAGCTGGTCGGAAACAGGTGCCGACTTGGCAGGCAGTCGGAAATAAATAAAATCACACATAGCCCCGGGATAAACCGAGGGAATTGCCAGTGGCAGAAGGATAGCATAGCACTGGGCACTGAGTGGGTGGGTGGGGGGTACAGGTGCGCACATGCATGAAAAGTAAAATATGTTTATATAAATAAAAGACAGCGGTGGCAAGAGAGGGGCTTGGCAGGATGGCTGGAGAGGCAGGCCCAGACCCCGAAAAAAGTTTGAAGTTCGGCTACATAAAGAAGTGCAAATTGTTGCGTGCTCCGATTGTATCTATCGAATGTGAGCACACGAAAGCTATTTCCTGCCAACAAATATAAACGCCGCAATAAAAAGGAACAACGGCACCAGCATTACCAACAGCAGCAACAACCTCAATGCCAATGGCCACGCCCATAAAGCAGGCGCGACAATGAGTGGAACTTGTGGGGCGGACCAAGAAGAGCCCCCAAAAGTTTTGTTTGGCAAGCAAACAACAACAACAACCTGGAAACAAGAAAAAAAGTTGTAAACTGAAATGATTATCTGGTGCCTGACACTTGTCTAGCCATAGATACACACGTATCTGTGTATCTGTATTGTGGGATTTGGTTTTAGGCAGGTAAATAACCGAATGTTTAACCCGAGAAACGGAATGCCAGTCACATCCTCGTCGCGGGGGCATTTGTTTGGTTTACTGCGGTTTTATTGGTGCGTATGATGTGCGGCATAAGTTTACGATCGACTGACTCTTTGTAGCATTTATGAGGTATGTTTACGGCTGGATTAGATCAGAGATAACAGCAGGCACCATGGGCATCAGGCATAAGGCATTGTTGAGTCAAATATTGTAGAGGAATTAGAGTACTGATCTCAGTGAGACAGAAACAATAAATTAACAAATTAAAAATTCAATAATTAAATGACTAGAAGCACTTTAATTCGCGTTAAAAAAATGTATACTATATATGATCATTGAGACCTTTTTTCAGAGGGATCCAAGTCTCTGGCTCTGACCAGTGACCCGCTTGGCTGCAAAAAACCCCTTCCATAATCATTTTGCTCCATCGATTCTCGCATTCCCCATCGGGCTGCTGCTTCAAATGTGCATTTACTTTGCCCACCAATTTGCTGTAAATAATTTTGGAAGCACTTTCATCTGCTTGAGTGAACGATTTGATTGCCAGGCCAACGGACAGACCGGGGGCTGCTGCGCTGCTTCCGTCATATGACGAGCAAATGTGGGGCCCTAGCCTCAAGTTCGAGGCAACTCGTGAAATGGGTCAATGACAGGCGGCCGCACATCTTGCCAAAGTCATTTGCATACACAAAGCAGTGGGACAACGACAACGACAACTCTTTGCACACTAATAAATATTTATATTTATATTTATTTTCAGTTTTGCACATACAAGGCTCCGCCTCACCACCACTTTGTCGCTTTTATGCGCTGTCCTCAAACACTTACAGCAACAAAAAAAAAGGAATATAATAACAAATTTCCACAAAATTTTACGCTCAATAAATTTTGTACAAAAAAAAAAAATAAAATAAAATGCTGCCTGGTCAGTGGCGAAAAGTGCACTCATGTGTTAGTAATTCACGGACACAGGGTAAAACATACTCGAAAACATACTCAAACACACACGAAAACGAAAACAATTTGCGAAGTAGTTAGCAAATAATTTGGCACAAGTCAAAGGCGGATTCTTTCGGAGCAACCTTTAATGTTGCACGGCCATAAAACGTTTAACATAATTTCTTTTTGGCCAGATTGTGTATACGCTTTGTGTACACAGCCCCCCCGTTCCCAGACTTAAACTCAAACTCAGACATGAGACTCGGCGACTCGAAGAAAATTGCATGGGCAAACTGGCTTAAACGGCTAATAACAAATTGTTTGCATTTAAATTTCATTTTCAAATAATTTTCATGTTCCCCAAAAATTGAAAAGCCCTCACACAACTTAATCAGAAGTTCACACACACACACACACACACACACACGGGAGCATACACACGAGCATACACGACTGGCAGACAGACATTTGGGAATATTTGTTTTGCTGGTTTAAATTCTGTATGCTGGCAGCAAAATATAATTCAGAAATTCAACAAACAATTTCCTGGGTGTAACCACAAAATGTTTCAGCCTGTGCCTGAGCCTGTTGAAAATGGCCGCACACATACGAGCAGGGAGATACAGATACTCGCACAAGTATGGCAGGAGAAATACTCATAGATCGTTTGCTATGCTCGTTGGTTTTGGATGTTGTTGCTCGACCAGGGGATTTGCTTGTGGGTTGTGCCTAAAGGGCCGTGGGGGCTGTAGCTTGGGCTGTAGCATTC